TCCCTCTGCCTCTCTCTCTCTCTCTCTCTGTCTTTCATGAATAAATAAATAAAATCTTTTTTAAAAAAAAGTTTAGGGCGCCTGGGTGGCTCAGTCGTTAAGCGTCTGCCTTCGGCTCAGGTCATGATCCCAGGGTCCTGGGATCGAGTCCCGCTAGCAGGGAGCCTGTTTCTCCCTCTCCCACTCCCCCTGCTTGTGTTCCTGCTCTCGCTGTCTCTCTCTCTGTCAAATAAATAAATAAAATCTTTAAAAAAAATTAAAAAAAGTTTAAACACAGGAGCACCTGGGTGGCTCAGTTGGTGGGGCAGCTCCCTTCGGCTCGGGTCATGATCTAAGGGTCATAAGATCCAGCCCCACGTCGGGCTCCCTGTTCAGTGGGGAGCCTGCTTCTCCCTCTCCCTCTGCTCCTCCCCACCACTTGTGCTCACATTCTCGCTCTCTCAAATAAATAAATAAAATTAAAAAAAAAAGAAAACACATGTCCACACACAAATATTACACAAATGTTAATAGGAGCATTATTCATAGCAGCCAAAAATTAGAAATAAACTGAATGTCTTTCAACTGATGAATCGAGAAATATAATATAGCATGTTTCTTAGCCACGAAAAGGAATGAAGTCCTGACACTTGCTATCACACGATGCACCTTGAAGCCAGGCTAAGTAGGAGAAGCCAGACACAAAAGAGGACCACATGTTGTAGGAATCCACTTATATAAAATGTCCAGAATAGACACCTCTGTAGAGACAAGAAGTGGTTGCTTAGGGCTAGGAGCAGGGGTTTAGGGAAATGGGGAGTGAGCGCTAAGGAGTGGGGTTTTGTGGAGGGAATGATGACAATATTAGCAAGAGTGGTGATGGTTGCACAACTCCATAAATATGCTAGAAACCATCGAATCAGACACTAAATGAGTGAATTGTATGCTTTGTGAACTCTGTCTCCATAAAGCTGCTATAAAAAGTTAGGCGATACAGATAAGGAAAAGAAAGACAATTTGAAGGTTCATCAACCTATCACCTAGAAACAACCCCTGTTCCATTTTAGTGACACTCTCCCAAACTACACTCCGTTGCCCTCTGTGCTGCTTTCTCATTTAATAACACACGGTTGACATCTCTCCGTGTCCGCAGACCTACCTGGACATAAAGCCACATCCTGCTTCCACCGCTCACTGGCTGTGGGCCGTGGGTAAGCCACCTCGGCTCTCAGACCCTTGGGCTCTCCATCTGTAAGGCGGGGTAACCCAAGGACCCACGGCCAGAGGAAGCGGTGAGGACGAAAGGAGAGAGATGGCACCCTTAAGGCTTGCAGTAGAGACCCCGGCCCAAGGGAAAGGCTCTGAAGGTGGAGGATGACATTTGTGCCCCCCTCGAGCACGCCCACCAGGCTCAGGTCACTTCTGTGCTGTTCTGTAGGTTTCCGACACATCGTGGTTGAAAACATCCACGGTTTAAAAAGTAGGGAGGGAGGTCGGGGACAGACCCTGGAGATTGTTCTGACCCTCAGTGGAAAGAAACTACCCTTCCAAGCACCTACTGTGTGCCTGGCATAGGTTCCTGTCTCCCCACAATGATATTATCGGCCCCCTGTGACTGATGCAGACACTGAGGCCGTCACCTGCCCTTTGCAAACAGCTGAGGGTGGAGCTAGGTTTCATTCCCAGGTTTACCTGGTTGAAAGTCAGTGTCCTTGCCACGTTTCTGCCTTCCAAGGAGGGGACATTTTTGAAAAGGCTTGACTCCTGTCCAAATAAGGGATTGGGTTATTATCTCCCAGACCTGGAGGGGGGCAGCCCAAGGGGGAAGTTGCTGCTCCTAGAGTTCTTTTCTTTCTTTTTAAGATTTTATTTATTTATTTATTTGGGGGGGGTGGAGGAGCAGAGGGAGAGGGGCAAGCAGACACTGGGCTCGATCCCATGATCCTGAGATCATGACCTGAACCGAAATCGAGAGTGAGTGGTGACGCGGGCAGTTACCCCACTGTCTGAACTTGATTACCTTGTAATAGGTGGGTGTAAGCATTGAATAAATTCATTACCTGGAGTCACTCAGCATAGCTTCTGACCTGGGGTGAGCTTTGGTATCACTGGGGTGAGTCAGGTGGACAGCTGCAGGGAGCCCAGGACGGGGGCTGTTGCCCACACTGGGTTTTGCACGTTCCTCTCCAGACCCAGAGGATGGGTGGCCAGTCCATGGGAAGGTTGCCAACAGTTTCCCTACCCATTCATTAGGAGGGAAGAGGAAGGGGACACTGCCGCCAAGAAGCCTGCCCCCATCTCCCCAGCCAGGCCGGGTTGCCCGCCCCCCGTCTCCCATGCCAACCGGCCTGGCCTGGTCTCCGTACTCCTCCCTTGCTTGTCCCTTCCTCCCTTTGGTCCCCTTTACCACCAACTCCAAGACAGCCACCAACTGGGACCAGATGGCCTTTGGAGTTCTGTGGACATGCTGTGGAGCCCAGCCCTGCCTCTGAGCAGCAACCTGACCTCAGTCAGAGACTCCACCTCACTGAGCCTCCTTCCTTCCCTATAGCACCAGGGCTAGCAGCTGGCTCCAGAGTCTGATTCTGACTCCGCACTTGCTGCTGTGGCCCCCTGACAAGGTAACTCAGCCTCCTTAGCCTCAGTTTCCTCATCTGCAAAAGGGGGACAACAACCACACCTCAGTGATTTGAGAATTCACTGAGAAAATACACCTAAAGTGCTCAGAACGGTGGGTGAGACATAGCAAGTGTTCACGATACTTTGGGCACGGTTACCATGTTCCTGGCCTATTAGGACTGTTGCAGTGCACACGGTCCTGCCCCAGGGACCCCATCTCCAAATGCCAGGCCCGTGGCCTCACACCCAGCCTGATCTCTGCCCCCCCCACCAGCAGCCCGTTAGACTGGGCACTCCGCTTTGCATGCCTCCCCGTCCCCCCAGCGCGGACATGGTGGGTGCTGATGTCTGTTGAACAAACTAAACAAAAGAAGAGATGCAAAAAAAGAAGGCCAAGAGGCTCCATCTTTGGCGGGAAAATGCAGGGTCCACTCATTCAGCCATCATTCGTTCATTTACTCAACTAATACCTGCTGAGCACCTGCTGTTCGAGGCTGTGGGGACAGAGCAGCTAACACAACTGGCAAAACCGCTGTCCTGGTAGAGCTGACATGCTTGTGGGGGAGACAGACCCCAAAGGAAAGGACGAGTGACATGTGGAGAATGCTGGTTTGTGATAAATGCCACAAAAACACCCGGGAGGGTGCCAGAGAGGTTGTCCTTCGAGACCGGGCAGCCAGGGAAGGCCCACGGAGAGGGTGACATCCGAGGAAAGATTTAAAGGAGGTGAAGTTATTCGTTCGTTCGTTCCTTCCTTCCTTCTTCTCATCTGCTCCCCCAGGCATCAGCAAGCATTTCCTTGGGCCTGTTCTGAGGCCCGAGCAGCTCTCAGGCGGGGGTCTCCCAGCAGTGGGGGGAGAACACACTCACCCACTCTGGAAGAGTCCGCAGAAGCAAGGGTGACCGTCATGGGGTCGGCGCGGGACGGAGGTGTTCTCGAGACTCGGGACTTTCCGTGCTGAACAGGGAGGCTTGTGCAAACCAGGACAAGTGGCCCCCCTCACCGAGATTGCCCTCAGTATCAGGGCTCCAGGGAAAGGTCAGCAGAGGCATCCACTCGCTTCTCTGAGGCTGGGACACTTGTGAGGGATGGGGAAGGGAAAGGCTCCAGAGTGCCACAGCATGGGGGGGCTGCAGGTTTGGGGACAACACTGCCCTCGGGGGGTCAGTGGGCAATGGGGAGGGAAGGGATGCCAGGGTCTTGGGTGTCGGTGAGGGGGCTGCATTGACTGTGGGCGGCAGGCCTCCAAGCAGGTGGGTAACTATGTCTGCATTTTAGAAAGAGCCCTGCTTTGCTGTGCAAGGGTTTTCCCTGAGGCAGACGATAGAGAGAGCGCAATACTGTGTCCTCATTCCTTCTTTCCTTCATTCTGGCGAGCACTGAGCACCTTCCAGACCCCCAGCCCTGGCCAAGATGTCTGCGCTGGGTCAGCAAGCCGGGGAGAGAATTACACAGCAAGTAGTGGAGAATCTACGGGAAGGGTATATGGGTGTTCATTGCATGATTTTCTGTAGGTGCAGACACTTTCAAAAAATGTTTTGGTGAAGAATAAATAAAAATAAATTCTCGGCCGCGTATAAGGCATTTGGGGGGGGCATAGATGAGGCAGTGGCCTTCCCTCCAAGCAGCCCAGGCCCCGGTGTGGTGGGGGGGGGAGTGCGGGAGCCCTGTGTGTGTGAGGTCCTCAGAGGAAGGGCCCTGGGGCAGGCCTGGGAGGCCAAGGGAGTTGCAGGGGATGGAGAGGGAAAGGGAAGGGCGCTCAGGCGGAGGAACAGCAGAGACAAAAACCTGGAGGCTGGAGGTGCAGGGATGTTGAGGCAACAGGTCTTTCTGTGTGGCTCAGTGGAGGGGTGGAGAGAGGCCAGAAGGGAAGCTGTGGCCCCACGGACCTTGTCTCCTTGAATCGGTCTCTGAAAATAAAAGTGAGGCTGGCCCCACTGTTGCAAAATCAGAGAACACAGGAAATTATTTAAAAAAGGAAATACAAGCCCTAGGTTAGCCCATCACCAGAGATAACCAGTATGAAGCATTTGATGCATTTCTTCCCAATATCTTCATGTATTTATATATGCATATCTCCCAACTTAGAATAATAAAGTAGTTTGCATCTTGCTGGCTTTTTTAAAAAAGATTTTATTTATTTATTTGAGAGAGAGAGAGCGAGGGAGAGAGCACGAGCAGGGTGAGGGCCAGAGGCAGAGGGAGAAGCAGGCTCCCCGCTGAGCAGGGAGCTGGACTCCGGGCTCAGTCCCAGGACCCTGGGATTGTGACCCGAGCCAAAGGCAGACCCTTCACTGACTGAGCCACCCAGGCGCCCCTGGTTTTTTTGTGTGGTTTTTTAAAGATTTTATTTTTAAGTAAGCTCTGCACCCCAACATGAGCCTCGAACTCACAACCCTGAGATCAAGAGTCACGTGTGCCACCGACTGAGCCAGCCAGGTACCCCGACATCTTGCTGTTTTTTTACTTAACATTATGTCAGATGCATTTTTCTAGTGCCATTAAATAGTCTCTGCTAACCTGATTTCTAAGCCGTTCGGATGACTCCAGCCAGTGGTGGATTCTTGGCTAAAGTGGTGATTTCTCATGGCTGGGCACTGCGGCTGTTTGCGCTTGCTTGCTGTAACAAAGAACACCATGGTAAACAGCCTCCATCCATACATAATTCCATGTCCACATCGCTGATTATTTTGGTGTTTTTTTCTGATCAGTTCCTAGACATGAGATTCTTGGAAGCCCTGCCCAGTGCAGAGCTGGCTGGGTAACCAGGGGAGGAGGTGGGTTTCTCAGGGCCACATGTCCCCACCTGAGGACAGCCTGGGCCCCAGCTGTAAGGAACAACTTGCACTTTCTGAATGCCTCATTCTCTCTCCTACCTCCAGGCCAGTTTGTCCGGGTGTTTACCAACCCCCGCCCCCAGCTTTTTCTCTTCCCCCTTCTCTCTGTCTTGCTAACTCTTCCTCATCTTTCCAGACACTGGCATAAGGTTCTCCAAGGAGCTTTCCTGGAGCCCCCAGCCTGGGAGCCCCCACTGCCATCCCCTCTGCAGCCGTGCCCGGGCCACCTCCATCCGAGTGCTTTCTCGCTGGGTTACAAGTCCTGCTTCTTTGTCTCGTTTTCTTTGTCCCCTGAGGACAGGGCCCAGGCTGAATTCATCTCTGAATTTCCAGTACTCAGGGGTTGAGCTGGCTCCTTTCAGTTTCAGTAAATGTTTGTTGAGCAAAGGAGTGGAGAGTTGGACAAATGAATTGAACAAATGAAGCAAAGTCTGTGGGGGAGGCTGAAGTGCAGACATTGGACTTCAGATGAGAATGCTGTCCAGGGGGACGTAGTGGGGTGCAGAGCAGGGCCCCTGAGTCAGGAGCAAGGACCAGGGAAGGCAGGGCTCTCGTGAAAGGAAGCTGGAAGCAGGGGCCCAGCCAGTGCCGTGCAGGGTAATGCAGACAAGAACATTCCAGAAGAAAGAAAAGTTTCATGGGCTCTGGAGCCCCCTGTCTGGATTCAAATCCTGACCCTGCTGCTTACGAACTATGTGACCCTGAGCCAGTGACTTAGCTTCTCTGTGCCTCAGTTTTTCCATCTGTAAAATGTGGATGACAAATGCTAGTACTTCATTCATTCATTCATTCATTCATTCATTCATTCATTCATTTTCTTCCTCGCTTAACACTTGTTGAGTGTCTGTTCTGGGCCCAGGATCGGAAACTGAGAGGGAGTTGACCAGCGCCGTCCCACACGCAAGCCAGCCCTGCAGCTGAGATGGAACCCAGGTGGCGGCCGCAGCTTCTGCTCAGGACGCCCCGAAGTCCACCCATGAACCCCGCAGTCCACCTCCCAGGCTGCCGTGGGACCATAGGAGGTGCCGGCACAGAGGGAACGCTGTCACCGGCCTCCTACAGCATCGTCACTGTCAGGAGTCTGTGCCGACCCACCGCAAGGTCTTGGAGAATGCCCCCACCCCTCTGAGCCTCTGTTTCCTTTAGGGTGAACAGCCATCTTGGTTTGCCTAGGAAGGAGGGTCTTCCCAGGGTGGGGGACTGTCTATGTTAAAACTGGTTCAGTCCTAGGCAAACAGGGATGGTTGGTCCCCCTAGTTTCCTCATCTGTAACATGGGGAACCACCTGCCCCCCAGGGCTGTGGTGCAGAACAGAAGCATGCACATAGGAAAGTCAGAGAAGAATTCTAGATCGATTACATGAATATTGAAGAATTCTATGTGGCATGGAAGTCCAGTCATGAAAAGGAAGGAGCCTACTCACAGATACTGCTCTGGAAGCAGCTCTAAGTTACGTATTTTTCGTGAAAAAAGCAAGGTACAGAACATTTTGTGTGGAGTGCTTCCACCAGAATCAGAGGAGGGGTATGAATAGACACACACAAGCTCATGTGTGCATGGATTCTCTGGGGGGGCACCTGGGTCGCTGGGGAGAAGAAGTGGGGAAAAGATCGGCTTTGCACTATATATCCTTTCTTGTTGGAATTATTTTAACCTTTTGTTGTCATTATCAGGTTGAAAAACCTCCTCAACTTCTGTGTGTCCAGAATTCAAACCAACAAAAAACTATTCTAAACCATTAAAAGGCCAAAGATAGAGGGTAGGAAAAGTGCCTAGCTCAGGGTCCAGCACCCAGGAAGCGCTTGAATGGCCTTCTCCCCTCTCCCACCCAAGACCTTGTTGATCACTGGTCTGGGTATGCGAGGGGCCCAGTGCTCATCAGGCTCAGGTGCAAGAGCAGTCTGGGAAGACACCTGTGGGCTCCACGAGGCAGCCTGCCTCCAGGCCTGAGGCTCATAGGACCCCCACCCACTTTGGTGGCTGCATGTCCAAGGTGGCCGTCTGCCAGGATCCAGGGGCCTTCCCCGCCTCCTGGGGTGGAGGTAGGCCCATCTTGCAAGGTAAATGGCTCAGGTTTCACATACTTCCAGACTAGGAAACCTGCATCTGCTGCTTCGGCCGCCAAAGCCTGCTCTCTCTGCCTCTGGCCTTGGGGAGAAAGGGCCACAGCTGGTTCAGGAAGAGGCTCCAGACGCAGCCTGAGACTACCCCCCGGACCTGACCGCCACCGACCAGCCTCCCGTGAGCGCCCAGCCCAGCCCCGCCTTGAGCTTCCAGACACGTGGCCAGGCTCTTTTTCTTTTTTAAATTTAGGATGACGCACATATTTCAGGAAAATGTTCTCATTGTAATATCTCAAACATTAATAAAATGTAGCGAATGAAAACCCAAGTAATTCCCCTGCATTTCCTGAGCCGCATTCCCCTCAAATATTACTGGCAGTTAGTGGGTATTCTTTTGAACCTTTTTACCATCATGTGTGTATGCACCTGTATCTCTTCCTCTGTATGTACACTTCTATCTATATCTGGAAGTACACCTTTGTCTATATGTGGGCCAACTGTGTATGCAGAGGCGCTGGGCCAATGGTAACATTCTGTATATTTTGTTCTGCAAGGTGCCTTACTTTTCACTGACTGTACTGTGGATGTTGCTTTGGGTCAGTATGTATACAACCACCTCCTTTTTAATGGCTGAGCAATATTCCATCACGTGAGCTGACCCATCATTTCTTTGTCCAGTCCCTTACCGAGCATTTAGATGGTTTCTATCGTTTTGCTTCCACAAACAGCCTTGGGCAGGCCTCATCGTGCACTGAGCGATTTCTTCAGGACAGGCACCTGGCTTACCTCCCGGCACTACTGGAGGGCCTGGGTACCGCATTCGCGATGAGTACTAATGAAGTGCAGCCCGGGGAAGCCAGAGCTAAGGACATAGACCGCCTGTTCCTGTGCACATCACCCCCGCTGAGCTGCCCAGCGTGTCACGTTTTCCTGTCAGACCGTCTCTCCCCAGCAGAATCCTTACCTCCCAAGCCTCCAGTCGTTCCACTGGGATAGCTTTTGAAATCTGGATTATGGGGAACTTTCCAGCCATCTTGGTTTGTCCTGCTACTGAGTGGCTTCCTGCCTGGGGTGACAGCAGGGAGAAGGCGGGGAGACCCCCCAGTCCCCACCTTTCTCCCCCATCTAAAGGAAGAGGCAGCGTGCGGAAGGCCCTGCCCCCTGAGCAAGCTCTTTTTCCCAAGGCTTCCTGCCACACGGGGAGCATGGGACAAAGAAGGGCGGGCTTGCAGGTGGAAAGCACAAGGGGAACCAAAAGAAAGAGAACCATAATAATGACCTATTCCTTACTCCCGCGCCTCCGGTGCCCCTGGCACCACACAAGCCAGAAACACAGCCCGCAGTGGGCGCTGCAGTAGCCCCTACCTCGCAAGTGAGGGAGCCAAGGCGCCGAGGGAGGGGGAGCAGGATTTGAACTTGGGCCGAGACAGCCCCAGAGCCCAGGTCCTAGAATCTCAAGGAGCTGAAACGTGCCAGAAGGTAGTGCTGACTCCCTGGGGAGCCCAAGAGAAATGAAGGCTGGAGAATGTGTGTGTGTGTGTGTGTGTGTGTGTGTGTGTGTGTGTGTGTGTGTGTCTTGGTGAGGGATCTGGAGAGATGGGTGGGATTTGGGGAGGAAGGGAAGGGCCTTCCAGGTGGGCAGAAGAGCCTGAACAAAAGCCCAGGGTAGGAGTGCACCTGGCATGTTGATGGGAGAAAGGACTGGTGCGGGTTGCGATGTGAGGTGCAAGCTGGAAGCGGGGGGTGGGGGGTGAAGGGGGAGCCCTGAATGCCAGGCAGGGAGTTGGCTGGCAATGAACCGCCACTGTGCTTACCATCTCTCATCAGTGCCATCTCCAGCACTAACTCAGCTGCTGTCCCACTGGCGGTCCACACGTGTCGTCTGACTCTTCCAACAACTCCAGGACATGGCCACCACGCTGCCCACGTTGCAGATGAGGAAACTGACTAGGGATCCCCAAGGGGGCAGGAGCAGGGCTGCTGACTCGCCCTGGTATGCCCTGCCCCCAGCCCTGGGGGAGAGGGAAGGGGGGAAGGGAGAAAAGCAGATGAAGGGATGAAGGATGAGGGGCGTGGGGCTCCCCATCCCGCCATCATCACCACTTGCACCTTCTAGATTTCTGAAATGGCCGGTGCTGGCTGTGGTGTGCCCTCGTCAGCCCTCCGGACCCAAGCTGCTTTAACCCGCTGACCTGTGACTCCCCGGGACTGAGATTAGCTGCAAGGCTGGCCCAGAACCCCCTCTCCTGAATTTGCGTCCAGAGTTCTTTCTCCCACATTCCAAATGCAAGCGCTGCTGGACGACTGGATCCCTCAGAGCCCTGGGAATCCACGGGACTTATCCACCCAGTTTCAGCTACACCAGGGTCTGGGAAACCGTAGGCTTTTGGGGTCTGGTCCTAGCCAGGACCTCAGTTTCCCCATGTGTAAGATAGACGTGCTCACTGTCAGACTGGAGAATCGCTCTGGGTGTTTATGCTTGTCTTGGGCCCCTGCTCCTCAGCTTCTCGTCTCAGAAAACAGCCTGGCTCTGCCCCAGACCCTTGCTAAGCCTCTGTCTCAGCAGGGAACAGAGCAGCCCTGGACCAGAGGGTCAGCCGCGAGTCCAAGCTCCACTCCTGGTGCCTTCTCGCTGCAGCCTGAGTGAGTGTGCCAGGTACCCTCGACATAGGGGGCACTTGACATCGCCACCCCTCCTTTCCCTGCCTGGGCAGACAGGTTGCTTCTCCGGGCCCCAGGCTCTGGGCGGCTGCAATGGCCGCTCCCCTCTGCCCAGCCTCGCACCAGGGTTGTGTGAAGCCAGGGCAACACACCGGATGGGAAAGAGCTTTGCAGATGGAAAACTTGGCCCATTGGGAAGATTTATTGCCATGACGGTAAATGTGTGGTCCAAAGGCCATCGGGGCCTGACAGCCCCGACCCAGAAGGCCTTGCTGGAGCCCAGGCCCCTCTCCCTCCGTCAGTGATGAAGGAGCAGATGACCTTCTCCCCAGGGCCCTGACATTTGGTGGTATGCCAGCCAGGCCTAGGCTCTCTTTCAGCCAACATCTCACCTCTTATTTTGGCATGTCCATCGCGACCCAGGTTTGAGAAGGATACACAGGCAGCCCAAACCCCTGGATAAACCTGGAGAGGCAGGCCAAGCCCTCCCTCCCTCTCAGCCCCCAAGGCCTGTCTCATCTCCCTTTTCTCCTCTAACCTGCTATCCCAGGAGGGATAACCTTGCCCTGCCTGTGGCCCTGTCAGCTTCCCCCTCTCCCTCATACCCCCTCCATTTCCACCCTTGCCACCAGAGACCTTTGGAAATCAAGGATTCAGGCAGATCTCTCCTGCTGGGTGCCTTCTGCCAAGTGTCCCGGCCAGTGTAGAGCCCCAAGGGGGTAACAGGGGAAAAGCGTCCCTGGGCTCTGTAGCCTGAGGAACCCTGGCCCACTCGAGTGGCCTCCCACTGCTCCTGGGCCCTGGGTCCTGACTGAGAGGCACCCACACTCCTGCCCACAAGAGGCTGCCCCAGGTGCAGACGGTGCCTGCTCCCTTTCCCCTCTGCCTGGACCCCACCCCTTCCCTCGCACCTGACATCTCTTCACCTGCATCAAGCCTCACTCAGGGCCCTCTTGCCATGCTGTCTCCAGTCTGCGTCAAGGGACCCTGTCTGTGTCCCCTCGGCAGGGTGAGCTCCTTATGTCGGAGCTGCAAGTCTCTCCTGGGTCTGTGAGCGCGGAGGCAAAGGCGCAGCAGCCTCGTGGCTGGGGCTCAGAGCCCAGCTCTGTGCCTGGCTCCCGAAGTGCTTGTCTGAGCCCCACACGGATGGACGTCCCTTGTCACCCTGCGCGTGGCCACCCCAGGCCGTCGGGAGTGTGTGTGACCTCAGGCTCAGCCAGGCTGAGCTATATTTAGACACCGGGGCCAGGGTGAGCTTCTGGGCCCGAGAGGGCGGCGGAGCCCACAGTGGGGCCCCAGGGGCACCTCCTCATCTAGGGGGACAGTCCCTGTGTAAGAGGCCATCACCCAGACTGGGTGCTGTTGGCTCCCACTGCCCCCAAAAAAGGCCAAGGAAAGATTCTGTTTGAACAAAGGAGGCTCTCTGGCTGGTTTTGTGTGTGGTGTGTGTTTATAGTTAGAAAAAACAAGTTCCGGGCTGGTTGGTCAGCTCCAAGGGTGGGCCAGAGGTGGGGGGGGCGCCAGGGGCGAAAGTGGGGGGCGGCTCCTGGCTGGCCCTGGGCCCCTGCTGCCTGCGCGGCTGGCCTCCCCTGCATACCTCGGGTGGCGCCACCGTGCTAGGCCAGGGTGCGGCCACCCGGCGGGCGAGGAGGGGCTGCCCCGGCCCGGCTGCGCGCTCCCCTGCTCTCCCGGGCAGGCAGGAGGCAGGATGGATGTTCGCAATAATTACCCAGCTGCAGCTTCCCCCGAGCTGCCGCCATAGCAACGGTGCCGGGCGCCCCAGCCGAGCGGCCAAGTGGCAGGAGGGGGTGTGGGCGCTCTGGGCAGGTCGGGGAGGGGGTGCCACGAGCCCCAGGCGCAGCCCCGCTGGCTGTCTTTGTTGGATCCCTCTCCCGCCTGCCCCCTCCCCAGAGGCCAGGGGGAGGGGGCTTTGTCTGGGCACCGGGAGGTTGGCACGGCCCAGGGGAGCCTCCAGCAGACGCCCCGTTCCTGCTGCCAGGACCCGTGGGGCCAGGGAAGCAGGTGTCAGGACTGGGGGTGCCAGGGGGGGTTCCTGTGGCCCAGGGCCCGATTTGGGGCACGTGGGCTGCTCGCCGCACACCCGGGACCCTTGGGTGTGCGCACCCCCAGTGTTGTCTCCCCTCTGCAGAGGGGCACATGTGGTTACTGGGCGCAGCCTGGGCGGGGTGTTTCTGACTTGGCTCACGCTGCCCTGCGGGGGTCCTGGTGGAACCAGGCATGGAGCTGCCTCGGGCAGGACTGGCTTTGTGTGCGCGGGTGCCTACGGGGGAGGCCCTGGGCCCAGAGGCAGTGTTTGGGGACCTCTAGAATCGTGCCCCCATGGCACCCAGCCCCCTCCGCTCAATAGTAAAGGCTCTGTAGGCCTCCCTCCGGAGAACATTTGATCTGAGGAAAGGGACAGCATCTCCGTTTTACAGTTGGGGAAGCTGAGGCCAGAGACGTGATGTGGCCTGGCTAAGGTCACACAGCTAAAAATACGGAATCTCAACCCAGTCCAGCCTTGTCACTGCCCTGCCATTGCTGTGGCTGTTCCCTGACCATCTGTCCTCAGGTGGTGTAGCCCAGTGGTGTAGCCCAATGGTTAGCCAAGAGTGCAGCCTCTGTGGCCTGGGCCAGGGGCGGGCGTCGGGGGGAATGTGAGTCAAT